GGCCCCCCCTGCCGGCGGCGCGCGGCCCGACAGCCCATCCGGACCGCCTTGCCACGACGACCCTCCTGGTTCCTCTGACCTCCTCAGCACGCCGTGCAAGGCCAGGCTCCCGCCACGAATTTTGTTTTTAACTCGCAACGTAAAGAGACGCTCACAGAGCCTTCTTGTTGCGGGAAGGGGAGAACTGGAGAGCGAGGATAAAAAAGGACTCCGAGTGCGAGGTGAAGATGGAGAAAGGCGCCCAGGCCCCAGACTGGGACAGCGATGAAACGGTGATAGACGGGTCGGTGACGGAGAGTGACCTGGAGGACGAGGAGCTGCCCTGGAGCAGGTGACCATCAGCCCCCGGTGCTGGGGCGGGTGGCCGCCCTGAGGCCCGCACCGGCGCCCGGTGGGCAGACATTACCAGACCCTTGTCGGTAGAGGCCTGTGAGGCCGCCAGGCCTGAGCTGAGAACCCGTAAATAAACAAGGCCACAACCCCCAACTTAATTGCAACTTCAGACAAGATCAGTTTAGAGGAGCTGGCTTTATGGCATTAAAAAAAATAAATAAAATAAAAATTAAAAAAGGCCTTTACTCTTAGCCCGAGGCCGTAAGTCCTTTTAAACAGGCCAAAACGTAGTAGGTCTACACAGCTGCAGTGCATTTTGCTTCCAGCAGCTTGTAGCTCGGGTCTAGGAGACGGTTAACATCATCTGTCGGGAGAAGAGTGTGTGATGGGAGAAACGGATACCCCCAAACTGGAAACCGGGAATTCCCTAAGAATCAAAGAAGGCAGCAGTGTAGTTCCTCAACACCTTCTTGAACACACGTCGCTTTCAGTGCTAGATTCGGGGAAAGGATAAGAGAGCTGGGGCCCCTGCCTTTGGAAGGACACGTGCACACAATCTCCCTGCAGTGTGGGCAGCCCCCGGTGGCCGTCGGAGCTGGTTAGGGTTATGTCTGAGTCCAGGCTCGAGGACGGGGTAGGAATTAGCCAGACGGAGAACAGGAGGTGTTCTAGGCCAGGGTGTGGCTGTGGGACATGGCATTGTGTTGTGTGTGTGCTGGAATGTACGTTAGCGCTTACTGAAGTGCCGGATGCTGGGGTGGGGGGTGGTGGGCGGTGGGCGGTGAGCCTGGTAGGGTGAGGTCGTCTAAGGCCTCAGATATCCCTCATGTGTCCTTGTGAAATGTTAGGTGGAGGAGCAGCCTTTTCAGATTTTTGTTGACTCCAGCATGTCCTAGACCAGGGCCTTTTATTTCATTTATTTATTAATTTATTTATTTTTAAGACAGGGATGTCCACTTTCACCACTCCTTTTAAAAGATATATACTTTTATTGTTTTCGGAGAGGAAGAGAGAGAGAGAAACATCCATGATGAGACAATCATTGATTGGCTGCCTCCTGCATGCCCCCCCCCCCCCCCCACTGGGCATTGAGCCCGAAACCCAGGGATGTGCCCTGATCAAGAATCGAACCATGACCTCCTGGTTCATAGGTAGATGCTCAACCACTGAGCCACGCTGGCTGGGCTAGACTAGGGCTTTTAAAATTTTAATGCCCTTGTAAATCACGGGGGGATCCTGGTAAAATGTGGATTCTAATTCAGGAGTTATCTGGAGGGATCTGAGATTCTGCATTGCTTACAAGCTTCCAGATTAAAGTTCCTACTATTAGAGAAGGGATCACCTTTTACAAGAGCTTATCAAAGTAGTAACAGACTGGGATGATGAGAGCTCAACTAAGAAGAAACAATGGGAATGGAGGGAAAAGGGCAAATTTGAGAAATCTTTAGAGAGTAAATTTGGCAGGAGATGGTGGTTCATTAGAAGTGGAGGATGATACCCAGGTTTCTGGCTTGTTTATGTACTAGAGGCCTAGTGCACGAAATCGTGCACTGGTGGGGTTCCCAGTGCCTGATGGCTGCTGGCCAGGGCCTTCCTCCCTTCCCCCGGCCAGCCCCATCCCCTGGTCAAACTCCCAGAGAACTCCCGGTCCAGGGGACAATTTGCATACTACGCTTTTATTATATAGAATACACATACAGTAATATTCGCTCTTGTTGGTGTCCAGGAAACATTTTGACTAATCTTATAACAACCACCACAATCAAGATCCACGACAGTTCCATCACTCCAGAAAAACTCCCTTTAGCTGCCCCTTTGTAGTTAAGCCCCTCTCCAATTTATTTATTTATTTTTTAAAAAATATTTTTTATTGATTTTTCACAGAGAGGAAGGGAGAGGGATAGAGAGCTAGAAACATCGATGAGAGAGAAACATCGATCAGCTGCCTCTTGCACGCCCCCTACTGGGGATGTGCCCACAACCAAGGTACATGCCCTTGACTGGAATCGAACCCAGGACCCTCCAGTCTACAGGCCGACACTCTATCCACTGAGCCAAACTGGTTAGGGCAAGCCCCTCTCCAATTTAAATCACTATTCCTATATATGTAATATATCATCTTTTTTGTATGTCTGCTTTCTTTCTTTCCTCCTCCCCTCATCTTTGGTTGTTAGCAGTTTGATTATGATGTGCCGAGGCATGATTTTGTGTTTTTTCCTGTTTTTGGTTCATTGATCTTGAATCTATAAATTTATGTCTTTCACCAGACTTGGGAAGTTTTCTGTTATAATTCCTTCATATATATTTTTTTCTGTACCAATTTCTTCTCTTCTGGAACTTTAAATGACCATAAATGGTCTCCCAGCTGCCTGAAGCTTTATTAATTCTATGGTCTTTCCTCTGTGTGCATGCATACCTGGTGTATCCCTCTCTTCTAATTCGATGATTAGATACCAGTCATATTAGATTAGGGCCCCACCCTTATTGCCGGGGTCCAGCCTCAGCGGGCCAGGGGTTCCCAAAGGTGTGGATGGAGTCTGCGAAGAATGTTTTACGTGGATCTTCCTGTGCCTGGCCGAGGCCACAGAGAAAGATCCCGAGGCAAGCTGAGCCTTTATTTTGTAGTCAGAGGTAAACAAGGTAGTGGTTACCATAGTTACACTGTTCTTGTGAGTTTCACTTGTTTTTGTTCTTGGTGCACTTCCCTCAGCCACTTAGCTTCCCAGATAAGATCTAGGGAGTGTTATAAGGTCAAGCCTAATTATGCTAAGAGGACTGTGCCCTCTAAGCTGGGACTTGTTTGTGACTTTGCCAACAGGTCAGTCGAGGCTTAACCCTATAGCGGCTCCCACACCTTATAATCTCAATAGCCTTCTTTAAGGACTTGCTTCCAAATCTAGTCACATTGGGGGTTGATCTAAGTGGGTTCATGTCAAAAAACCCATGAGCCACTTTGAAGAAGCTATCACTAGCTAAAAATGGGACAGTTTGAACATTGGGAAGTGTTCACATATAACAGCAGTGGATTTAAATCAGTGAGTTTGTAATGGTCTTTAAAAACATATTTCAATATTATGAAAACTGATAAGGAAAGAGAAAGAAGCAGCCCTAGCTGGTTTGGCTCAGTGGATAGAGCGTCAGCCTGTGGACTGAAGGGTCTCGGGTTCAATTTAGGTCAAGGGCGCATGCACAGGTTGTGAGCTCCGTCCACAGTAGGGGGTGCAGGAGGCAGTTTTTGTTTCTATCTCTATCTCCCTCACCCTTTCTCTCTGAATCAATAAAAAAATTTTAAATACATAAAATAAATAAAAAGGGAGAAGGAGAAAGAAGCAGGCATTTATTTTGGCTTTCTATGCAACTGTAACTAAGTACTGCTGAGTAACATAGCT